AAGTGGGCAGTTTATTTAAGATGGACATGTTATTTAGTTTACTTACTATAAAGCATGTTTGTAGGTTATAATGAATAATATTAATAAAATTAATCCTTATTTTTTTTTGCATATCTCAAAACTAGTCTGATACCCAGGATCTGTATCGGGCTGATACTAGCAAAAATAGTGGATTGGCTAACGGAGAAAAAAAGGCACAAATTCAGTCCGATCTTGTAACCGATGGAAAAAACTGGAACTGGATTTGGAAAAGTTTTTTTTTTTTTTTTTTTCGACTAGAAATATTTACATATAAGGAGACATGAGTGTACTTTTTGTTAGGATTGATTGTATTATAGTATATACTATAATCATATTTTTACCTATGTATTTTTTTTAAGGGAAGTGCTTCCAAAAAATATAATTTTTAAAGTTTTTCAGAGAAAAATATTGGATAGGTATTGACATCCTGACGTATCATTATAGTACATATTTTTTTGTTATTTTTTAAAGTTTCTTATGTAATACTTCTTGAAATCAGGGCTGCGACAGAGACATGGTGAGGGCTACAGGAGCCTCTCTCTCTGGGGCTCCCGCTCCATCGCTCGGGCCTCTGGATCCTCCTCTGGCTGAGGATGTGGAGGCTATAGAGGCGCAGAGGCACAGACTGCAGAAGCGATGGGGTCTACTGCTGAACACTGGTGAGTTAATTTTACTTAGATCATAGCACTGTTGAATTCTTGTGTCTTTTTGGTCAGGAAGTGTTTAATTAAAAGTGATTAATTATCTCTGACAGTAGTCCCAGCTGTAAATTCAAATCACAAATTTATATTCATGTGCTCATCCTAACATGTTATTGTGTCTGTACAACTCATTCAAGGGGACTTGTATGGCAGACAGTGGGTGACTTGGTAAATAAAGCATGGTGCATGGTTAATGTGATCGTGTATGTGCTCAGTTTCAGAAAGTGGAACGGAGCGTCAGGACTGATGAAGACTCTTCCTGCTGCCATTTGTGAACTTCATCATTATCATTTCTATAAGTAAAGAGTCAAGGCTACCCAATTAATGATGTGTGACATATATATATATATATATATATATATATATATATATATATATATATATATATATATATATATATTTTGCTGGGTGGTATGTGTGTGTGTAATGGATTTAAATGTGATAGTGATGTGTATGTTGTTATTAGAACAAATTTATATGTGTATATTTGATGGATGACAAAATCCCCCCACTGCCAGTTAATGAAAAATATTAAGTATGTCCTGATTTAGTAAAAGAGAATGTTAACATAAAAACATTCACACTGTGAACAATTAATTCATTAAATATACAGCTCTTAATCCTTATGTTCTGAAATTGGGTCAGAATGACACATTAAATTTTTTACCTATTAAATTCTAGTGGAATTTTTTTTTTTCCAACTTGATAATATATTACACACATTATGTTCAGGTCATTTTTACATGTGAGAAACCATTTAAAATAAGTACTAATCAGAAATGCATTTCTGATCATTTTTATTTCCTATCACCTGATACTCATATCCACTGTCCCCGACCTTGCGAAAGGTTTATCAGAAATATCTACAGTATATTACTAAAAGAAATAAAGATATACAGGTCCATAAGTATTTGGACAGTGACAATTTTCATAATGTTTCCTCTGTACAGCACCACAATGCATTTGAAATGAAGCAATCAAGATGTGATTGAAGTCTAGACTTTCAGCTTTAATTCAAGGGCTTTAACAAAAATATTACATTAACCATTTAGGAAATACATCAATTTGTTTTCATGGTCCCTCTATTTTCACAGGCTCAAAAGTAATTGGACAATTGACTGACAAGCAGTTTTACGGCCAAATGTGGCCTGTTTTTGCCAGGCCTGTTATTTCATGACAAATTAAGGAGATAAAAGGTCTGGAGTTGATTCAAAGTGTTGGATTTGCATTTAGTAGCTGTTCATGGGAACTCTCACTAGGCAGTCCAAAGAGGTGTCAGTGCAAGTGAAGGAGGCCATCATTAGGCTGAAAAAACAAAACAAACCTATCAGAGACAGAGCAGAAACTTTTGGTACATTCTTACAAAGAAGGAATGCAGTAGCGAGGTCAGCAACATCAAAAGGCCTGAAAGACCACAAAAGACAACTGAAGTGGACGATCAAAGAATTCTTTCCTTGGTGAAGAAAAAACCCCTTCGCAAAATATAGCCAAGTCAAGAACACTCTGGAGGAGGTAGCCGTATCATTGTCAAAGTTTGCAATCAAGAGACACCTTCATGAATGTAAATACAGAGGTTTTACCTCAAGATGCAAACCACCGGTAACACTCAAGAACAGAAAGGCCAGATTAGACTTTGCTAGAAAACATCTAAAAAACAAGCCTGGCCATATTCTGGAACAAGATTCTTTGGACTGATGAAACCAAGATTAGTTTGTACCAGAATGATGGGAAGAGAAGAGTATGGAGAAGGAATGGAAGGGCTCATGATCCAAAGCATACCACATCATCTGTCAAACATATGGAGGCAGTATTAGGGCATGGGCATGTATGGCTGCTAATGGAACTGAGTCACCGATGTTTGTTGAAGATGTGACCACTGATAGATGTAGTAGGATGAATTCTGAAGTGTATAGAGCTATATTTTCTGCTCAGATTCAGTAAAATGCTGCGAAATTGATAGGAGAGTGCTTCACGGTACAAATGGGTCATTACCCAAAATGTACTGTGAAAGCAACCCAAGAGCTTCTTAAGGCAAAGAAATTAAATGTTTTTAAATGGCCGAGTCAGTCACCTGACCTCAACTCACTAGAGCATGCTTTTCACTTACTGAAGACAAAACTGAAGGCAGAAAGACCCACAAACAAGCAGCACCTGAAGTCGGCTGCAGTAAAGGCCTGGCAAAGCATCTCAAGGGAGGAAACTCAGCATTTGGTGATGCCCATGGGTTCCAGACTTCAGGCATTGACTGCAAAGGATTTGCATCCAGGTATTAAAAGTAATCCTTATATTTATGTTAGTTTTTCCAATTACTTTTGAGCCTGTGAAAATGGAGGGACTCTGTAAAAAATGGCTGTAATTCCTAAACAGTTAATGCAATATTTTTGTTACAACCTTTGAATTAAAGCTGGAAGCCTACACTTCAATCACATCTTGATTGCTCCATTTCAAATTCATTGGTGTGTTGTACAGAGGCAAAAATATGAAAATTGTGTCACTGTCCAAATACTTATGGAACTGACTGTCGTGTGTACTTTAAAATACATGTTATAAATGTATGGACATGGAGTACTAAGAAGATAACAGAATATGATGGTTTAAGATATACAGTGGATGTTACAGTGAGTTCATTTAAATGTCCATTAATAGACCTTTATATAACACGGGTTCATCTGTAACCAGTTATCTTATAATATTTGTATAATTTTATAAATAAATTTTTATACTAAAATTGGATCATTGGTATTTAGAATTCAACAAATTTAATTAAAGGTAAAATGGGATTATTTTAAAAATGCAGGTCATGATTTTTCTTCTCAGTAATTTAGGACGCTAATTTTACGGCCTTGGTCCTGACAGTGGGAGGAGGCAGAGGCAATATGAAAAGCCAAACGGTCCATAAACATGGCAAATGTGTCTGGTTTGCAGTATTAATGCAAGCTTTTATATTTTTAGATACAATTGCTTGCTAATAAACTAATTAAATTCTACAAATTTTTATGGCAATTTTATGGTTAAGACAATGTCCATGTACACAATATAGAAACCCCCAAAGCACAGGGAGAACATGCAAACTCCACGCACACAGGGCGGCGGCGGGAATCGAAGCCCCAACCCCGGAGGTGTGAGGCAAACATACCAAGCCACTGTGCCCCCTCTGCTGGAAAAAGAAGTGATTTAAGTGATTTAATTATACCAAATAATTTGCAGAACATAATTAATAATGTGACTGAGTAAGTTAGGGCGCTATCTTTCAAAACAATGATGTCTTTCCCAAATCAAGGAGCTCTTGTTTATAGTTAGCAACAATAGGTATCTGCTTTATCCCTGTCAGGGTCGTGCTGGATCTGAAGCCTCTTCCGGGAACACTGGACTCATTAACACCTAGGGGCAATTTAGAGTAGCCAATCTACTAGCATGTTTTTGGGAGGTGGGAGGAAACCGGAGAACCTGGAGGAAACCCATGGGGACATGGAGAGAACATGCATGGAAGTTCTGCCCAGACAGAAACCCGAGCTCAGGATCAAAGCAGGGACCCTGGAGCTGTGAACCAGCACCCTAATACTATTTAATCACATTTACTGTAGTTTTTGGGTTTTGTTGCATTCCAGAAAGCTCAGAAAAGTTTGCTGGACACACTGTCAGAATCTACTACGAAGCTGGGTCAAAATGGGGTATTTTAAGAGGCATTTCATTGTAATGGCCATATGATATCCTGGAAAATTTCTTTTAATAATGATGGAGAATATTCATTAAAAAAGACAAAAAAAAAAGTGCCATGAACATACAAGTTATTTTGGCATAAAAATTAACATAAAAGTGACAAGATTTTTTTAACCCTTTCATGCAGTGTCCACACTTATGGACAGTCAATTTAAAGCTCATTTTTATATTTTAGGAAAATATAAGATGTGAATCACCAATTTGTTGTTCTCAGCCTTTGTTAACTTTCTGCATAAAATAAAATAAGTTTTTTTTTTCCAGATTCTACTGAATTAGATTCTTTTTTTTAAACTAGTGTTGGTTTTGGGCAAATGATTGTTTTTTACCTCCTTGTGTCATGCAACATTCCTATATTGTGTACATGTTCAGAAATGATATTTTCTAATCTCAGTACATATTTTAGACCTGAATGTTAAATATTTTGGACTTTCAAAGATCAAATTTTTCATTATTATTTCAAGCATACTATTCTAACCTTTTTTAACTCATACAATCCTTTTACTTTTTAAATATTTAGACAGAATAAATTCATATACAGTACCATGCAATTTTTATGGTCCCTGGAGGACTAGTGGTTAGGCCATGGCGCTCTCAACACCACGGCCTAGGTTCGATTCCCAGCTCAGCCACTGGGGTTGCACACGACAGCGCACTCCCAGTGCAGGTCCCAAGCCTGGATAAAATTGCGGGGGTTGTGTCAGGAAGGACATCCAGTGTAAAAACTGTGCCAAATCAAATACGCGGACCAGTGATCTGTTGTGGAGACCTGTAACAGTAGCAGCCGAAGAAGAAGAACAACAACAACAACCAAGCTGTTTTAGGGAAGAGAAAATATAAAAGATATGTGTATAAATAATTTATGCATGAAAGGTAATGAAATGTTTCTTTTTGGAGACCCCAGGAGATATGCCCTGCTGCCCTGTGTACAGCACATGCAGATCAGTGGCTCTATAAATATGTGAATTTAATTTACCTAGATACCTAATTTATCTACTTAGCATAAAGATCTAGTGTTTGAGAACTTCCCATCACTAGTGTTGAATCTAGATAGATACAGAGGCTGTAAAGGCGGTCTTAACAATGTAAACGTGCGCAAAATGTGGCCATTTTCCGTGTTTATGGACCTTTTGGCATTCCATAGACCAGACCGGTGACTGTATAACGAGTCACCCTTCACTGTCCGTCCTAATAAAGGCCTCTTTCCGCTTGGCCATTGTCTGTGCGCTGTAGTGCTTTAACGCGGCATATCTGCTACCACCAGGTGCGCTCTGAAGTGCACTGAGCGGCTCGTTTCCGGATTTGAAACACAGCCCTGGATGCAAAGGCAATCCCAGCAGATTGAGAGATGTCTACTTCCAGACCTGCGGCGCACTCGGGAAAGATGAAGAAGGACGAGTCTTTTCTTGGGAAGCTCGGAGGCACGCTGTCTCGCAAGAAGAAGGCAAAAGAAGGTAAAAAAATTTTTAATAATTATAATAATAATAATATCCGCATAGCTGTTATATGCCACCTGAAATGAGATGTGACCATGTGGTGTTTTACAGTACAGCTACTGTCCATGGTGCTGTTCCATATACATTTCATTTTCAGCAGTGTGTGAGATTAGTCTTGTCTGGCATCAGTCATCACTAGCATTTAAACCATGTTCATTCAAAGAATATATATATGAATGATATTAAGAGTGATTAGTCTCTGATATCCAGTGAAGCCATGTGGAAAAAGTCAAACTGCAGGCTGGCACTGGTGCTGATGAAATGAACATAAATAGATCCCTATGCCAGGAATGCAGGGATGTTAAGATAACAGTATTTATTTTTCTCCCTTTGTTATATCTCCAGAGGCATTACTTTTCCGAACGAAACTTCTTTTGTTGGTGGCGTCTACGCTTATTTAAATACATATTCACTTTAGTTTCACTCCCTTTAGATTTATGCTTCACTGGTCACCCCACTGTTATGTGTGAACAGCTGCAAAGTGTGTGTGTGTGTGTGTGTGTGTGGGTGGGTGTGTGTGTGTGTGGGTGGGTGGGTGTGTTTGTGTCTTGGTGGGGACTGGCAAGGATAGTACTATCTGAAAGTTTTGACCTGATGAGGACATTTGGCTGATTTTATTTTATAAAACTAAATGTTTGCTCTTGGTTTCTCAGATTAAGGTTAGGATAAGGTTTAGATGCAGGCATAGAATTAATTAGCTGTGTTAATAGTTATGTCAGTGGAAGGTCCTCACAAGGATAGTAGGACAAACAAGTGTGTGTGTGTGTGTGTGTGTGTGTGTGTGTGTGTGTGTGTGTTTTTGTTCTTTTTTGAGCCATACTGAGTTGCCTCAGAGCCAGCTCATTCAAGCATGATTGCTAAACACTCATATTCTTTAAATAGGAGGACTCGTAGACCAGAGGAGAGGTAGACCAATTTACTCGACAAACAGATTTAAATAAATTAAACAGAACCTTTTTTTTCCAGGACAAACTTTTAATTAACCATCTCTAAAGATTGTTTGACAGCCTGTGAAAGTATGTATATGTCTCGACACTTCCTCTGTGCCTGATTATTTTTTAAAATGAGGAATATTGTAACCATTGTTTTGTCTATCAACAATTAAGTTGCTCAGGAAGTTGTCCTGATGACAGAAACACAACCATGTGAAGGGGCCGAGGCTGACTGTTGGGCTGAAATAGCGTAATGACAGGTGGTCAGTTTGGTAACACTGGTGACATTCTGTTGTGGACCAGGCATGTGCAGGATTAATGTGGTGTGGGGTGTGGTCTTTTACCCCTTAAATAATCATACAAGATCCTTTGTACATAATTGCTAATGTTATTTTAGGCAGTTATGAACTGAAATGACAATATGGGAAAACAATATGAGGAAAAATGCACAGACAAATTAAAATGTTCCCCCTCTTACTTGTAACCCCCACTCTCCTATCTCCCCATCTGTATATGTTTTGGGCTCCTCTATGCAGAGAGAACCCTCAAACATTTAAGAGAAGTGTACTTGTAGGCATTACAGTAGCTAATATACTACATGGCCAAAACTTTGTGAACATCTGACTGTCCCATTCAAGATTTATTCCCCCTTTGCTGTTATAAGAACCTCCACTCTTCTGGGAGGGCTTTCCACTAGATTTTGCACTGTGGCTGACCTCACTAATGCTCTTATGGCTGAATGGACACAAATCCCCATAGCTACAAGAGCTTTAGTGAGGTCAGGCGCTGATTTTGGGTAAGGAGGGCCGGGGTGCAGTCGGTGTTCCAGTTCATCCCAAAAGCGTTCAGTGGGGTTGAGGTGCAGGACACTCGAGTTCTTCCACACCAAACTTGGCAAACCATGTCTTCATGGAGCTCACTTTTTGCACAGAGGTATTGTCATACTGGAACAGGTTTGGGCTTCTTAGTTCCAGTGAAGGGAACTTGTAAAGCTACAGCACACAAACACATTCTATACAATTGTGTACTTCCACCTTTGTGGCAGCATTTGGGGAAGAACCACATATGGGTGAGATGGTCAGGTGTCCACAAACCTTTGGCCATATAGTATATTACTGCTTGCACTTTCTGCTCTTATACTGGAAAATTGGTTTATGCAGTGAATTGTTTTGTTAGGTAATTTAGCTGGCTTTGATGCTATTACTTTGGTGCAGTTTGGAAAAAAAATAGCCCAGGTTCTCTTACAGTTAGGGTTAAGTGACAGCAAGATGGCCACAAAAAAAGGGGGGAAAAAAAAGACAGAAATTAAAAGTAAGAATTAAAAAAGACATTTAGGGCTCAAGATAAAGAGGACGAAGAGAAAGCTATGTTTAACACAAATGCAAGAAAGAGAATTTAGTGACACAGCCTACCTAAAGCAAGCCATTAGTGTTCTTCATATAATATAAAAGTGTTGCATAAAAGTTATCATATTGTAACGATTCTTGCCAGTGCAAAAAGAGACCTTGTTTATATTTCCTAGGTATTACATGTGGTATTTGCATGTTTCGTTTTGGTCACGCAAAAGGAGTCTCCAACACAAAAAACTGACATATTAGCTGGCTCAACTCTTTGAGACTGGTGCTGTGTGTGCTGCTATTTATAAAGTGACGTTATATAGTATTGTGAAGTTCAATTGTTAATTGAACTGGTTTGTATATGGCAACTTGTCACCACTGATACCAACAACATACAGCAGCAGTATGGAGTCACTGATATTATTCCACAGACTGTATGTTAGATTTTTAGATTTTTCATCTCAGCATTTTTTTTCTGAAGAACTTTCCTAATATCCCTGTTGTGGACATTAATACTGAGTACCAGAGAAGGAACCGTTAATGGCCAGGATACCCTCAGGACAGTGTACGTCCGCTAGCTGGAATTCTTTTTTTTTTTTAGGGTTTTCTAGGGTGGAACTTATGGGTGGACCATTATGACTCGCATGTGGTCAGTGGTAGAAAGATTAGACATATCTTCAGTCTGAGAGCTTTATAGTTCCCTTCCTGCTGGGTTTCTTATTTTGCATTGTGGACACTCTTATCTGTCTGTCATCTGAATTGTTCTTGTTGGTTTCTTTGTATGATGTCTTGTTCATTTAAATAAGTAATTCCACTGCAAAGATTTTTAAATTTGACATTTGCTACAAGTTTAATATGATTCAATCATACTGTGTAGTATATGGCCAAAAGTTTGTGCATGCCTGCCGATAGCACTCACATGTGCTTTTTGAACATCCCATTCCAGATTTAGTCCCCTACTTTGCTGTTATAATACCCTCCACTCCTCTGGGAAGGCTTTCCACTAGATTTTGGTGCATGGCTGTGGGGTTTGTCGAGCTACACATGCTACTCCTGAGATAGCAGTGATCCTGACCCCTTCTGCTCTCCAGACCTGCCTGATACATCCTGATGCCCTACTTCTGGTTGGAGTTCTCATCGGTTGGAGATCGCTTGCAGCTGCTGGGGGTGGCCCTATATAGATGGGGATCTCATATGGGGAGTTGTACTGTGGTGGCTTTGGGGCTGTGGATGCTGCGAGCAGTTTTGCACTCAGGTCTCCATCAGTGGACAGTGGATAGGTTCAACAAACCAGACTTCATGTGAAAACTGTGATGAATTTCCTGGTTGCACAATTGCACTATTGGTCCATGTAGTACACAGTTATAGCAGGGATTTATTTATAATTGCACTGTCTAGCGTCACCCAGATGAGGATGGGTTCCCTTTTGAGTCTGGTTCCTCTCAAGGGTTCTTCCTCATATCGTCTCAGGGAGTTTTTCCTCCCCACCGTCACTTCTGGCTTGCTCATTAGGGATACATTCACACATTTGCAATTTACTTTGATTCAATTTCATTTGAATGTATTGATTTCTGTAAATCAATTCTGTAAATCAGTGCTGCTTTGTGACAATGTCCATTGTTAAAAGCGCTATACAAATAAAATTGAATTGAATTGAATTGATTTGTCCATTCAGCCACCAGAGCATTAGTGTGGTCAGGCACTGATGTCAGGTGAAGAGGCATTACAGTTAAATCCCAAAGGTGTTCAGTGGGGTTGAGGTCAGGCCTCTGTGCAGGACACCTGAGTTCTTCCACTCCAGCCTTGACAAACCACATCTTCATGAACCTCGCTTTGTGCACAGGGGCATTGTCATGCTGGAACAGGT